CTCTTCTCTCCAAAAAACCACTCAAAACCAGAAGTAGTGCACTGGCTAAAGTGGTAGAGCACTAGCCTTGAGCTGAAGAGCTGAGGGACAGCGCTCAGGCTCAGAGTTCAGGCCCCACAACCGGACCCCAAAAAAAAAAAAAAGAAATGTACTCATTACCTTGCTCATGTGATTGTAACCCCTCTGTACAGTATTCTCACAATAAAAAAACTTAATGAAAAGAAAAAGATTAACAAACCAATTGAAAACTGAGCAGAGAATTAAACAGGTTAGTATGCAACCCGAATATCAATAAATAAGGAACGTATTAAACATCATTCATTAATCATCAAGAAAATTCAAATTAAAGCTAATTAGTCTTTCCTGTAGAATTAACAAAACTAAACATGACAATTCTAAGTGCTGACAAAGGTGTGAGAGCTATGGAAGTACATTGCTACTACCTATTCAGAAAATTAAGTTATACTCTACAAAGATCATGAACTTTTCCACTTGGGCTGATTTTTTTGTTTGTTTGCCATGGGCTTGAACTCTGGGCCTGGGCGCTGTCCCTGAGCTCTTCAGCTTCAGGCACGTGTTCTACCACTTGAGCCACAGCTCCACTTCTGGTTTTCTGGTGGTTAATTAAAGATCAGAGCCATGAACTTTCCTGCTCTCCTGACTTTGAACCATGATCCTCAGTTCTCAGTCTCCTGAGTAGGTAGGATTACAGGCATGAGAACATTTGCATCCGATGAATTGTGACTTTTTTGTTTTGTTTTTTTTTGCTAGTCCTAGGGCTTGAACTCAGGGCTTGGGCACTGTCCCTGAGCTTATTTTGCTCAAGGCTAGCACTCTGCCACTTGAGCTACAGTGCCACTTCTGGCTGTTTATATGGTACTGAGGAGTTGAGCCCAGGGCTTCATGTATACTAGGCAAGCCTCTACTACTTAGCCATATTCCCAGCCCTGTGGCATTTTTCTTTAAAGTTCTCAACAGTTGTTTATTGAATAAATGAATACTGATGACAGTATCAGGGAAAATATGTAATCCAGGAAGTGATCAATATTTTAACAAAGCAGGGATATGATGGCACACATCTGTAACCTCGGTGCTTAGAAGGCTGAAACAGATCCCAAATTAGAGGCCAGTCTGAATTGCATCCTGAGACTCTGTATCAAAAGCAAACTAGAAAAAGACTTTAAGAAGATGGAAAGAAAATTAACCAGAAAATTTGCAGATGTAACACGGGTTTTATCCAAATCAAATAAAAACCAAGCCTAGGGTTTTCATTTAGATCTGTTTGAAGGCTGAACCTATAAAAGATTAACAGTTGGAACTTCTCTTAGGAGCTGTCTTGAGGATGAGGTGTGATAACAGAAATAAAGCAGTAAATATTATTACTGTTCTTTTTCGGCAGTACTAGAGTTTGAACTCAGTGTCACACTTACTAGACAAGCTATGCCTAAAAGCCTTCTTGCTTTGGTTACTTTTGAGATAAGGTTGAGCTTTTGGCCTGGTCCCACTTGCCCGCAGTTGTCCTACGTGTGCTTTACATGGTAGCTGTAATGATAAGCTTATACCACCACATCCAGCTTTGACTGCTGAATGGAGGTTTTGAGAACTTCCACCTATCCTGGCTTAAAACCTCCATTCTCCTGATCTCAGCCTTCTGAGTAGCGAGGATTACAAGTGTGAACCCCAGTTTATTATTACTATTCCTAAAGCACTTCCATCTCAACAGTATTAAACTAATCTACATGATGAGTGGATCGTACAATACAGCTTCTCCCCATTTTAATCTGCCATTTTTTCATCCCAGTGGATTCTCAGTTCACATGAATCATTTAAGTACCACTTCATTAGGAATGGGAAGGTCATTGAGAGAAGTCAGGATGCTTCCAACCATATTTCCCATCATTTCTCGTCTGGCTTGATGAGTTGCGCTCCCAATATGAAGCGTCAGAATGACATTCTTCAGTTTCAACAAAGGTTGCTCCCTTGGCAGGGGTTCTGGAGGTCACATCTAGTGCTGCAGCTTTAATGACCTTATTCTTCAGAGCTTCTGCCAGGGCATCTTGGTCAACTACTAGAGCTGCATTGAAACACAACTCTGTTAGCAACACAAATGAAAGAACCTGAGGTCATATTTGCTGTAGTTTCAAACACATCTTCATTTTCTTCCTGTAACATGTCTCAAGATATCCAAGGTCTGAATGTGAGACCTTTACAAGGCCTGATGTATAGACGTAACAAAACTAGGTCCAGGCTATGCTAGTAAGTAAACCAAGCTCTCCATGTGCATTCTCTATGAACTCAAGTAACCTTCAAGGTTGACTCATAATGCAGGTGAGGAAACTAAAGCTCATAGGTTACAAATGTGTCCCAGGCCCAGAGTTCAAGCCCCATGACTGACCAAAAAAAAAAAAAAAGGTGACTACAAATGTGCTCCCATCATTTTATGAGTCTACCCTGGAAAAGGGCCCTTTTCTCTGTCCCTGTGGCATTTTTATTTTTTTATTTTTTTTTTTCCTGTGGCATTTTTAATACAGAAAAAATAAAGGGTTGTAGGTGTGGCCCAGTTGGTAGAGTGCTAGCCAATGAGCTAGCACTCAGTACCATGAGGTAGTGAGTTCTGGTACTGATACTGGGTCTGGTCCTGGACTAAAAAAACAAAAGAAGAAAAAAAATATTGCCAGGCATTGGTGGCTCACTCTGTAATCTTAGTTACTCAAGAGGCTGAGATCTGAGAATCACAATTTGAAGCCAGCGTGGGCAGGAAAGTCTTATTTCCACTTAACCACCTACAAATGGAGAGTGGAGTTGTGGATCAAAGTCTATAGTAGAATACTAGTCTTGAGCACAAAAACTTAGGGACAGTGCCTAGGCCCTGAGTTCAAGCCCGACTGATAAAAAATTAATTTGGAGGGGCTGGGAAGGTGGCTCAGTGGTAGAGCGCTTGCCTTGCATGCCTGAGGCCCTGGGTTCGATTCCTCAGCACCACATAAGCAAAAAGAAAAATGCTGGAAGTGGTGCTATGGCTCAGGTGGTAGAGCACTAGCCTTGAGCTGAAGAGCTGAGGGACAGTGCCCAGGCCCAGAGTTCAGGCCCACGACCGGACCAAAAAAAAAAATAATAATAATAATTTGGAGCCGGGCACCAGTGGATCACACCTGTAATCCTAGGTACTTAGGAGGCTGAGATCTGAGGATTGCGGTTTAAAGCCAGCTCTGGCAGAAAAGTCCATGAGACTCTTGTCTCCAATTAGCCACTAGAAAACGACGTGGTCTGTGATTCAAGCAGGAGAGCGCTTGCCTTGAGCTGAAGAGTGCAGGGATAGCGCCCAAGCTCAGAGTTCAAACCCCACAACCGACAAAAATAATAATTTTGATGGCTAGAGTTATTGTGGAGATGAAGAAGGTTATTTAAAGCTCCTACAAACACTGCTTCATAGACACTTAATATAATTCATAACAGAGCTTGTTCTTGAGTCACCAATAGCCATACATAGCCCTTGCTCAACTGGGCAAATTTTGAGACCATGGAAACAGGCAAGTGGCTGCAATGCATATATTATGACATAAAAGACAGTATTGTAAGGGTTAATGTGTGTGTGTGCGTGGGTGCGCTCGTGCGTGTGCGCGCTCGTGCGTGCGTGCTGGTACTCAGGGCCTTGAGCTCTGGCGTGGCATTTTCTTTTTTTTTTTGGTCCAGTCTTGAGGCCTGAACTCGGCCTGGGCGCTGTCCCTCAGCTCAAGGCTAACGCTCTACCACTTGAGCCACAGGCGCCACTTCTGGCTTTTTTCTTTTTGCTTATGTGGTGCTGAGGAATCGAACCCAGGGCCTGAGGCATGCAAGGCAAGCGCTCTACCATTGAGCCAACTTCCCATGCCATGGCTTGGCATTTTCTTTTTTTTTTTTTTGGTCCGGTCGTGGGGCCTGAACTCTGGGCCTGGGCGCTGTCCCTCAGCTCTTCAGCTCAAGGCTAGAGCTCTACCACTTGAGTCACAGCGCCACTTCCGGCTTTTTTTTCTTTTTGCTTATGTGGTGCTGAGGAATTGAACCCAGGGCCTCAGGCATGCAAGGCAAGTGCTCTACCACTGAGCCACCTTCCCAGCCCATGGCTTGGCATTTTCATTCAAGGCTGGCACTCTGTCACTTGAGCCACAGCTTTATGTCCAGCTTTTTGGTGGTTAAGTGGAGATGAGAGTCTCATGGAATTTTTTGCACAAGCTTGCTTAGAGCTGAGGCCCTCAGATCTCCTCCTCTTGAGTTGCAAAGACTACAGGCACTAACCTCCAGCTTCTGGCTAGGTTTTTAATTTTGTGAAACAGAAAAAGCAACTGGTGTAGATTTTAAAAGCTTACACGTATCATTTAAAATTCTAATTATAGAAAATGCTTAGCTGGGTGCCAGTGGCTTACACCTGTATTCTAACTATTCTGGAGGCTGTGATCTGAGGATTGCAACTTAAAAAAAAAAAGGTAGAAGTGGAGCTGTAGCTCAAGTGGTAGAGAGCTAGCCTTGAGCAAAGAAGCTCAGGGACAGCGCCCAGGCCCTGAGTTCAAGCTGCAATACTGGCACATACACATGCAAAAAGCTTCCTTGTGGTAAAATGAGAAAAATGTCGAAGGCTGAAACCTGTACAAATTGGACTGGGAGTGTGCCTTAGTGGTAGAGTGTTTGCCTAGCATGCATGAAGCCTGGTTTGATTGCTCAGTACCACATAAACAGGGAAAGCTGGAAATGGTACTGTGGCTCAACTGGTAGCGTGCTGGCATGAGCAAAAGAAGCTCAGGGACAGTGCCCAGGCTGAGTTCAAGCCCCAGGACTGGCAAAAAGGAAAAACAAAAGCTGTACAAATCATAACCAGTAAGAATCCTCCCATCTCCAGTACAAATTTTAGAAATCTTGCTTTTTAAAGTAGGTAGATTTCAAGTGGAAATTTCAAGAAAACAATTGCAGTAGCTTGGAAAATAGAAGCAAATATTTAAATGCTACTTTTTAAAACTGTTCCCTAGATTTCTTCGCCTAATGAATTTGATGTCATGTTTAAATTGGAAGTCCCCAGAATTCAGCTAGAAGAATACCCCAACAGTGGGGCTCACTACTTTGTAAAGTTCAAAAGAAACCCAAAAGGAAATCCTTTGAGTCAATTTTTAGAAGGGGAAATACTATCTGCTTCTAAGATGCTGATGAAGTTTCGGAAAATCATTAAGGAAGAAATTAAAAACATGAAAGGTAAGATTTTATTTTTAAAATTATTCTTCAGTAGTACAAAGGGATTTCAATGCAACATGCTGTTTGTGAGTACATCAAGGCCTGGGCACTGTCCCTGAGCTTCTTTTGCTCAAGGCTAGCACTCTACCACTTGAGCGACAGCACCACTTTGGGCTTTTTCTGTTTATGTGGTACTGAGGAATTGAACCCAGGGCTTCATGCATGCTAGGCAAGCACTCTTCCACTAAGCCACATTCCCAGCCACAATATATCTTGATCAATGCCATCTTTTCCATCAATCTCCTCCCTCCATCTCTCCCAACCCCACCTATTCCCTCACTTTACCTGCTTCTATTTTTTTTTTCGTTGGTTGTGGGTCTTGAACTCTGGGCCTGGGTGCTGTTCCTGCACTCTTCAGCTTAAAGTGAGTGCTCCACCACTTGAGCCACAGCGACACTTCTGGTTTTCTAGTGGTTTATTGGAGATAAGAGTCTCAGGGACTTTCCTGCCCAGGCTGGCTTTGAACCGTGATTTTCAGATCTCAGCCTCCTGAGTAGCTAGGATTACAGGTGTGAGCCATCGGCGTCCAGCTACCTGCTTCTATTTTTATATAAAAACATTGCATTATTGTGGTTACCTACCCTTCCCCTCTCCCTCTCCATTGATCTACCTTCCCTTTGATTACACCACCTCCTTGCTTCACACCTGTTTCAGTCTGCTGGTATTCATTTTGTTAAACCATAAGTTAGTTGTTCAAAGGCATTACACCATTGGAATCCTTACTTTAGTGAACATGTTTGTATATATAAGCATGGTCTTGTATATGTACAAACATATTTATTACTTAGTTCTAAGGTCACATATGAAAGTAAACATGTCATGTGTCTTTTGTCTCTTTAGGTCTGACTTCATTTAATGTATGGTTTTTCCATTTCTCTGTATGACACAATACCATTTTTCCTGATGGATGAATAAATTTTGTTGTGTGTGTATGTTTATATACCTATATCATATTTTCTTATCCATTCGTCCATTGAAGGATATCTGAAACCATAACTTGGCTATGGTGAATAGTGTGGCAGTGAATGTGTGTGCAGTTGCCCTCTACCTAACTCAACCTTAGATATGCCCTAGAGAAAGATTTGTTACTTTTTCTTTTTTTTGGGTCCGGTCGTGGGGCCTGAACTCTGGGCCTGGGTGCTGTCCCTCAGCTCTTCAGCTCAAGGCTAGTGCTCTACCACTTGAGCCACAGCTCCACTTCCGGTTTTTTATTCTTTTTGCTTATGTGGTGCTGAGGAATCGAACCCAGGGCCTCAGGCATGCAAGGCAAGTGCTCTACCACTGAGCCACCTTCCCAGCCCAGATTTGTTACTTTTGATTATTTTTTTTTTTGCCAGTTGTGGGTTGAAATCAGGACCTGGGCAGTGTCCTTGAGCTTCTTTTGCTCAAGGCTAGCACTCTACCACTTGAGTCTTTCTGTTTATGTGGTACTGAGGAATTGAACCTAGGGCTTCATGCATGCTAGGCAAACACTCTGCCACTGAGCCACATTTCCAGCCTTTGATCTCTTTTGACCTTCCTGTAGCAGACTGTTGAATACTACCTTCCTCTAGAAACAGCTATTTACACTGGAAAAAAAAATATGCCTGGAGAAAGTTGGCAGGATTCTTCATTTTTTTCTTTTTTGTGATACTCATGCTCTTGCTTGGTCTTTTCTACTCAAGGTTGGCACTCTACCTCCACTTTCAGCTTTTTGCTGGTTAATTGGAGATAAAGTCTAATTCTTCAATTAACTACCCAAATGCTGGAAGTAGAGCTATGGCTCAGGTGATAGCACACTTGCCTTGAGGGAAAAAAAAAAAAAAGCTCAGGGACATCATCCATGCCTAGCATCCGAGAAAGAGGAAGCCTCCCTCCCCCTCCCATGATCTAAAGACTGTGCCTCCTAACAGCTCCACTCTTTGCCAATAGTATCACCTTGGGAACAAGTCTTTCACACATGGACCTTTCAGGGACTCTTCAGAGCCAAACTGCACCAAACACATTTTGCAAATGTGAATTGAGACTTTGGATGTGAATATGTTAGGTTAGAGATTTTTGTACCATATCACAATGAAAGTGGCAAAGTGCATGGTTGGATACAGACCTGCAGTACAGAGGATGCGTTTGGGGGCAAGTAAGCATTTGGAAGTCAGCACCATGTGGTGGCATTGGGGATGGGTGAGGCCACTGAAGCAGTGTGTCCATTCATGGTATTACTACTCATTAGACAGTAATGATTCATCTCCTAGGTTTTTAGGGAACATTGCTGAACAGTTCAAGGCTGACTTCTATTCTCCATATCTTATAATCTTGCAAGCACAAAAATACATTTAATAAAAAATTTAAAATAATGATCTGTATACCAGTGCTATGGGGAGGAGAATGGGTTGGGGAGGAGGATGGAAAGGAGGATGGGATCTGAATGATGATGGGGATGAGGATGGGGATGAAGATGAGGACAGGGATGAGGATGGAGATGAGGATAGGGATGAAGAGGATAGGATGAGGTTTAGCATGCTGTTGACATGACCTTCATGGAATTGGTTTTTTGTATGCTGGTACTGGGACTGAACTCGGCCTGGAAGCTGTCCTTTAACTTTTCCCTGAAGGCTGTTACTCTACCACGTGAACCACATCTCCACTTCCAGTGTTTTGGTGGTTAACTAGTGATAGAGTCTCATGGACTTTCCTGTGCTGGCTTGCTTCAAACTGCTGTCCTCAGATCTCAGCTTCCTGAGTAGCTAGGATTACAGGCGTGAGGTGCCACAGCCTACCTTGATCTTCGGTTCTGGGCCATTTTTGACATTGTCAAAAGCAATTTCAGTGGAGCAATGGACATAAAAAATGAAAAGCCAGGCCGGACGCCGGTGGCTCACTCCTGTAATCCTAGCTACTCAGGAGGCTGAGCTCTGAGGATCGCGGTTCAAAGCCAGCCCAGGCAGGAAAGTCCGTGAAACTCTTATCTCCACTAAACCACCAGAAAACCGGAAGTGGCGCTGTAGCTCAAGTGGTAGAGCGCTTGCCTTGAGCTGAAGAGCTGAGGGACAGCGCTCAGGCCCAGAGTTCAAGCCCTACGACCAACAAAAAAAAGAAGAAAAGAAAAGTCACTGGGTGACTCATGCTTGTAGTCTTAGCTACTCAGGAGGCTGAAATCTGAAGATGCTGGTTTGAAACCAGCCAGGGCAGAAAGGTCTGTGAGACTCTTAACAAGCAAATAGCTGGAAATAGAGATGTAGCTCAAGTGGTAGAACTCCAGCCTTGAGTGAAAAAGCCAAGTGAGAACTCAAGTCTCTTGAGTTCAAGTCCCAATAATGACACGTGTGTGTGTGCACATGCGTGCGTGCACACACACACATGCACACACACACAGAAAAGAAAATAAAAAGTCAGGGTTGCGATAGAGGTTGCACGTGTAAGCAGTTTTGGGTGAGAAGGAATCAGAAAGATGAGTGATCATGGAGATGTTCATCAAGAGGGGTATTTTAGAGGTAGAGATGCTTTAATCCTCTGTATCTGATCTTGTAAAGAAGGTAGGATAGATGATGTAGGACAGGGAATAACTAGAGCAAGGTGCCTGGGAAGATGACAGGAGGGGGTCCATGGTCTGTTTGCAGGGATGGTCTCTGGCAGGTTGAAGACGGTTAGAAAAGGAAAGCACACAATGGGTAGAGAAGATCTTCAGAGCTTTTTCTCCTTGGTAGTTTACATCCTCACTGACGCCCCTCCCAGAAACCTGATCTTGGAATCGTATTTCCAGCTCACTCCCAATTCCCAAAGGCACCTGGATGTCTGACCACCATGGCTATCTGACCAGTAGCTGTCTTCATTTGGGCAGCTAGAGCTCATGAGGTCTAAAGTGATGTCCATTTGGCGCAGTCTTTCTTTTTTCTGTTTTTCTTTTCTGTCGGTTATGGGGCCTGAACTCTGGGTCTGGGCACTGTCCCTCAGCTCTTCAGCTCAAGGCTAATGCTCTATCACTTGAGCCATAGCGCCACTTCTGGCTTTTTCTGCTTATGTGGTGCTGAGGAATGGAACCCAGGGCCCCATGCATGTGAGGCAAACACCACTGAGCCACTTTCCCAGCCCTTCTATTTTTTTTTTTTTTTAAATCAGAGTCCTGGGAGGGCAACTCAGGAAAGTCTGTGTGACTCTTATCTCCACTAAATTACCAAAAAAGCTGGAAGTGGTGCTGTGGCTCAAGTGGTAGTATGCTAGCCTTGAGTAAAAGAAACTCAGACAGCACCTAGGCCTTGTGTTCAAGTCCAGGACTGGCATCAAAAAAACTTTTTTAAAAGCAATTGTACAAGGGTATTTCTGAACATGTCTCTTTGTGCGTACAATGCATCTCGATCAGTGTCATCCCTTTCATTGCTCTGTCCTATCTCTGGCAACTCCACGCATCCCCTCATGTTAACTGGTTCCATTTTCACCTATGCACAATGAGTCTTATTGCATTCACCCAGCATTCCCCTCTCCATCCACTCCCTTTTAACCCCTAACACCTTCAGAGAAGACACGTTTCAAGTTTCTGGTATATATTTTGTCAAACAGTCTAATTTTTTTTTTTGTTGTTGTTGGTCAAGGGGCTTGAACTCTGAACTCTGGGCTTGGGCGCTGTCCCTCAGCAATTATAGAGCTCAAGGTGAGCGCTCTACTGCTTGAGCCACAGCACCACTTCTGGTTTTCTAGTGCTTTAGTGGAGATAAGAGTCTCATGGAGTTTCCTGCCCGGGCTGGCTTTGAATCATGATCTTCAGATCTCAGCCTCCTAAGTAGCTACGATTACAGGCGTGAACCACCGGTGCCCGGCTCTGTCCTTTAACTTTTCACTTGATGCTGGCACTATATCACTTGAACTGCTGCAGCTCTACTTCTGTTTCTTTAGTTGTTAATTGGCGATAAGAATGCCATGGACTGGACTGGAAAGGTGGCTTAGTGGTAGAGTGTTTGCCTTGCATGCATGAGGCCCTGGGTTCAATTCCTCAGCGCCACATAAGCAGAAAAAAAAGCTGGAAGTTAGGCCGGGCTCTGGTGGCTCAAGCCTGTAATCCTAGCTACTCAGGAGGCTGAGATCTGAGGATCGCGGTTCAAAGCCAGCCCGGGCAGGAGAGACCGTGAGACTCCTATCTCCAATAAACCACCAGAAAACCGGAAGTGGCGCTGTAGCTCAAGTGGTAGAGCGCTCGCCTTGAGCTGAAGAGCTGAGGGACAGCGCCCAGGCCCAGAGTTCAAGCCTCACGACCGACAAAAAAAAAAAAAAAAAAAAAAAAAAAAAAAAAAAAAGCTGGAAGTTGTTCGCCTTGAACTGAAGGAGCTGAGGGACAGCGCCCAGGCCCAGAGTTCAAGCCCCATAACCAACAACAACAACAAAAAGATTTGCATGGACTTTCCTTCTGGTGCTGGCCTTGAACCACAGTCCTCAGATACAGATCTTTAATTATAGTTATATTGTTTACCCCATTCTTTGAGAGAAAATTGAAGCAGTCTTTCCCTCCCTTCTATCTATTTAAACAGATCAAAATGTCAGTATGGAGAAGAAAAAGCCAGGGAGCCCTGCTGTAACACTTCTTATTGAAATACCTGAAAAGATATCTGTGGATGTAATCCTGGCTTTGGAAGCAAAAACTAGTTGGCCTGCTAACACCAAGGAAGGCCTGCTTATCCATAATTGGCTTGGAAAAAAAGTTAGGAATGATTTAAGACGACAGCCATTTTATTTGGTACCCAAGCATGCAAAAGAAAGACATGGTTTTCAAGGTGAGTTCAGTTAAAGGTTGATGGAAAGACACTGAAGAAGAATTGGTAAGCTGGGTGCTGGTGGCTCATGCCTGTAATCCTAGCTACTCAGGAAGCTGAGATTTTAGGATCGAGGTTCAAAGCCAGCCAGGGCAGGAACGTCTGTGAGACTCTTATCTCCAATAAACCACTAGAATACGGGAAGTGGCTCTGAGGCTCAAGCGGTAGAGTGCTCACCTTGAGCTGAAGAGCTCAGAGACAGCACCCAGACCCAGAGTTCAGGACCCACAACCGACAAAGAGTTGGTAATACTTTATTCCACAGCAGTAGATGATCAGTATTCAGCTAACCTTTTGGCAGTTCAAGAGTTATCTTGGCGACGGATGGAAAGTTTGGTGAGAGATAGGATTGAAAAGGATATAATCATAGAAGTACTATCAGGTACTTAGCTTGGAGATGTGTAGTAACCCACACGTAAATTTTAATTTAAGCCATTCATGCTGCCATTCATGCCTGTAATCCTAGCTACTCATTTAAAACCACAGTCCTCAGATCTCAGCCTCCAGAGTAACTAGGATTATAGGTGTGAGCCATCAGTTCCTGGGTAGAACACTTATTTAATACTTAATTACATTATGCTTCTGTTTACTTCTTTTGGTTTACCTTCCAGTAGAATTTCCTCAGAGTGAAAGTTCAGGAAATCATTTCCATGGTGTGCTGGTTAGCTATGGTTGCTCTGGTAAAGTGCTTTTCTGTTTCTCTTTTTGAAATTAAGGAGAGACATGGCGGATATCTTTCTCTCATATTGAAAAGGACATTTTAAATAATCATGGAAAATCTAAAACATGTTGTGAAACAGATGGAGTGAAATGTTGCAGGTAAATATCCTTTTTTTAAAAGTGGCTGATTATCTATGATTTGTTTAATTCTTTGTTGACTGTCGCTCAAGGGTGAAAAGTGATTATTGATGGGTTAAGTTGGATCAGGATGGGATGACCTGGGGAGAGTGTGAATCATGTACCCCTTTTTTTTTTCCTTTTTTTTTCCTTTTTTTTTGGGTCCATCACCTTTACAACAAAAAATTTTTGCGGGGTGGCGGGGGGGGGGGGGGGGGGGGGAGAGGTCTGGTCGTGGGGCCTGAACTCTGGGCCAGGGCGCTATCCCTCAGCTCTTCAGCTCAAGGCTAGCGCTCTACCACTTGAGCCACAGTGCCACTTCCAGCTTTTTTTCTTTTTGTTTATGTGGTGCTGAGGAATCTAACCCAGGGCCTCAGGCATGCAAGGCAAGCGCTCTACCACTGAGCCACCTTCCCAGCCCCCGAGAGTGTGAGTCATGTGGAGGCTGGAAGATCTCTCTGTTTTGGACTGGGACTGGGAGTTGGACTCAGGGCCTGGTGCTGTCCCTTAGCTTTTTTACTTAAGGCTGGTGTTCTACCACTTAAGCCATAGCTCTACTCCCGGCTTTTTGGTGTTTCATTGAAGGTAAAGAATCATGGACTTCCCTGTGTGGGCTAGCCTCAAACCTTGGTCCTTAGATTTCTTGAGTAGCTAGGATTACAGTATGAGCCACTAGAGCCTGGCCTGAGGATCACTTTTTTTTTTTTTGCCAGTCCTGGAGCTTGAACTCAGGGCATGGACTCTGTCCCTGAGCTTCTTTTGCTCAAGTCTAGCACTCTACCACTTGAGCCACAGTACCACTTTCTGGCCTTACTGAGGAATAGAATGAACCCAGGGCTTCGTGCATGCTAGGCAAACACTCAACACTAAGCCATATTCCCATCCCAAGGATCACTCAATAGATATGGGTCCTTAGCCAGGAGCTGGTGGCTCCTGCCTATAATCCTAGCTACCCAGGAGGCTGAGATCTGAGGATCACTGTTCAAAACCAGCCTAGGCAGGAAACTCCATGAGAGTCTTATCTCCAGTTAACCACCAGCAAACTGGAAATGGTTCTGTGGCACAAAGTGGTAAGGCACTAGCCTTGAGCAGAAAAGCTCCAGGCCAGCACCCAGACCCTGATTTCAAGCCTCACAAACAACAAAAACAAAAAAAGTGCTTATTTTGGGATGGTGTGGCTGAGTTGAAATCTAGGGACTAACTAGGTAAATTTGAAGCCACACTAAGTGGCAGTAATTTTTATTAGTATATACTACAAAAGAAATTATTCATTTCAGTTTCTTTTTGGTGTTACTGAATTTTGAACTCAGAGCTCTGTAGTTTGAGATTCTAAGGTTGACCATGCTAAGTTGAGTGTGGTGATAAATGTCTATAATCTCAATTACTTGGAGGTGAAAGGATCTTGGTTTGAGGCCAGCCTGGACAAGAGTTTGCAAAATCTTAATTCAAAAACAAACCTGAGGGGCTGGGAAGGTGGCTTTGTGGTATAGTGCTTGCCTCGCATGCATGAGGCCCTGAGTTCGATTCTTCACATAAGCTGAAAAAGCCAGAAGTGGCCGTGTGGTTCTAGTGGTAGAGCAGTAGCCTTGAGCTGAAGAGCTGAGGGACAGTGCCCAGGTCCAGAGTTCAGGTCACCCAACCGACCAAAAAAAAAAAGAAAAAACCAACCCAAACCTGAGCCAGGTGCTGGTGGCTCTCACCTGTAATCCTACCTACTCAGGAGGCTGAGAACTGAGGATCGTAGTCCAAAGCCAGCCTGGGCTCAAAGCCAGCCCCGGCAGGAAAGTCCATGAGACTCATCTCCAGTTAAGCACCAGAAAACAGGAACTGGTGCTGTGACTCAAGTGGTAGAGTGCTAGCCTTGAGCTGAAGAGCTCAGGGACAGTGCCCAGACCCAAGTTCAAGCCACACGACTGACAAAACAAACAAACAACAATAAAAAAAACACCCAAACCTGATGTAGTTGCAAATTCCTGTGGTCACAGATACTGGGGAGGCGAAAGCAGGAAGATCAAGGTCCAAGGCCAGCCTGTAAAACTAAACTAAGCAAACAAACAGAAAAACAACCAAACAAAACAGAAAAGGAAAGGGCTGGGATGTGACTCAAGTGAGAGCACTTGCAAGTGCAAGGCCTGAATTCAAAGCCATGTACCAAAGGAAAAATAAAAGTGATCTGACCTGTAATTGTAACTGCTTAGGAGGGTGAGATCTATAGATTCCAATTTGAAGCTAGCCTTAGCAGGCAAGTCCATGAGACTCTTTTCTACAATTAGCTAGCAGAAGAGCTGTAGAATGCTAGCCTTGTGCACCTGGAGGTTGTGCCCATGTCCTGAATTCAAGCCCCAGTACGCGCGCGCGCACACACACACACACACACACACACACGCACGCACGCACCCACGCACCCACGCAGGGAATAAGAATGCCCAATGTGTAGTCTCTAAATTATGTGTAGGTCTTTTTTTTTTTTTTTTTAGTTGGTAGTGGGGCTTGAATTTTGGGCCTGCACCGTTCCTCAACAGTTCAGCCTAAGGTTAATACTTGAGCCACAGTGCCCTTCAGGTTTTCTGGTGGTTTATTGGAGATAAGAATTTCATGGACTTTCCTGCTCCGGCTGGCTTTGAATCATGATCTTCAGATCTTAGCCTCCTGAATAGTTAGGATTACAGACATGAGCCACTGACGCCCGGCTTATGTGTAGGTTTTGACATAGCAATAAGGAAAACATTGCTAATAAAACTAGGTAACTGATTTTTTTTTTTTTTTTTTGGGTCCAGTCGTGGGGCCTGAACTCTGGGCCTGGGCGCTGTCCCTCAGCTCTTCAGCTCAAGGCTAGCGCTCTACCACTTGAGCCACAGTGCCACTTCTGGCTTTTTTCTTTTTGCTTATGTGGTGCTGAGGAATCGAACCCAGGGCCTCGAGCATGCAAGGCAAGCGCTCTACCACTGAGCCACCTTCCCAACCCCAAAACTAGGTAACTGATATCCAATCAAGAACACAGGTGGTTTTAAAATAAAATTGTAAAAATTTACTTATTAAAAAGCAAAATAATTTTATAAGTATTAAATTTTATCAGCAGCTAAACAGATGAATATGGAAATTTGCAGTCCAATAAAGTAAAATAATTTTATAAAAGAAGAAAAAACCTTTTGGCGTTACTAGGGATCGAACTCAGGACCTTGTGGTTGCTAAACAGATGCTCTATCATTTGAAACACTATACCATCTCCTTCAACAATTTTTTTTTTTTGGGGGGGTCCGGTTGTGGGGCCTGAACTCTGGGCCTGGGCGCTGTCCCTCAGCTCTTCAGCTCAAGGTTAGTGCTCTATCACTTGAGCCACAGTGCCACTTCTGGCTTTTTTCTTTTTGCTTATGTGGTGCTGAGGAATCGAACCCAGGGCTCATGCATGCAAGGCAAGCGCTCTACCACTGAGCCACCTTCCCAGCCCCAACAATTTTCTTTAATGCTGGTTCTAGGGCTTGAACTTAGGGCCTGAGCTTTCTTGCACAAGGCTAGTGCTATAACATTTGAGCCACAGCTCTCCTTCTGGCTTTTTTGTGGCTAATAAAATTCTCAGACTTAGCCGGGCATTAGTGGCTCACTTCTATAATCCTAGCTACTCAGGAGGTTGAGATATTAAGATAGAGGTTCAAAGCTAGCCTGAGCAGGAAAGTCCATGAGCCTCTTATTTCCAATAAACCATGAGAAAACCAGAAGTGGCGCTGTGGCTCAGGTGGTAGAGTGCTAGCCTTGAGCTGAAGAGCTTAGGGACAGTGCCCAGGCCCAGAATTCAAGCCCCATGACCAACAAAAAAGAAAAAAAAAAGAGTCTTAGACTTTTCTGCTCAGGCTGGTTTCAAATCAAGATCCTCAGATCGCAGCCTTCTGGGACAGCTTGGGCACTGTCCCTCAGCTCTTCAGCTCAAGGCTCTACCACTTGAGCCACAGCGCCACTTCCGGCTTTTTCTGCTTATGTGGTGATGAGGAATCGAACCCAGGGTGTCATACATGCAAGGCAAGCACTCTATCACTGAGCCACCTTCCCAGCCCTGGACCTTCGCCTTCTGATTAGTTGGATTACAGGCTTGAGCCACCGCACCAGGCTTCAACAAATTTTTTGTAGATACTGAGGTGACTGGAAGAGTAATGTATTAGTTTTATGAGGTTCAGTTAAATGGTAGTAGAGTAAAACTTTTAAGCTGGGATTGGGGAAGAGGAAAGAAAAACTTCAAAGCATATATTTGGTCAGTGGTTTTATTTCTTTTTTGGTGCTGGTATTTTGGTTTGAACAGAGCCTGGAGCTCTCACTTGGCTTGTTTGCTCACAGCTGGTATTCTACCACTTAAGCCATGCCTCCTGTCCAGCATTTTGCTGGTTATTTGAAGATGGAGTCTTGCAGACTTTTTTCCTGTCTTTTTTGCTCAGGTTGTCATCAAATCTCAATCCTCCAGGTCTCACCATCCTAAGTAGCTGGGATTACAGGTGTGAGCCACCAGTGCCCAGCTTATAATAAAATATATTTTCTGTCCAAATGTGTTTCTTCTATAAGATGCCTGAAGTCTGTTGTGAAATGAGGCAGACTGTGAATAATAAACAGATCTTTTTAAAATTAAACAGGAAAAAAATGCCTAAAACTAATGAAATACCTTCTGGAACAGCTGAAAAAGAAGTTTGAGGATCGCAAAGAGCTGAATAAATTCTGTTCTTATCATGTGAAAACTGCTTTCTTTCACTTATGTTCCCGGTACCACCTGGACAGCCAGTGGGATCCCAAGGATCTAAAGCTGTGCTTTGATAACTGTGTCACATTCCTCCTTGAGTGTCTCAGGACAGAAAAACTGGTGCATTATTTTATTCCTGTGGTCAATCTATTCTCTCAGGACAAAATTGACAACGTAAGTAGAGCGTTTCTGTTAGAACAAATTGAATATGAAAGAAACAATGGGTTTCCAGTTTTTGGTGAATTTTGAAGTTTGGTTTTCCAAAAAGGATCAAGAACTAGAATGATAATTGGGATTATTAATAATAGTTGGGATTATTGTGATTAATTGGGAATAATTGCCATAGCAATGAATGACTAAAATGAATGTATACAATATTTTGTTTTCTGTTTATCATAATCAAGCTTAATAGAAAGGATTATAGGCTGGGCAGTGGTGGCACACACCTGTAATCCTAGCTATTGGGGCTGTGGGGGAGGGGGCAGTTAAATCTGAGGATGACAGTTCAAAGCCATCCCAGGCAGGAAAGTTTGTGAGACTTGACTCTTCAATTAATCACAGAAGAAGCTGGAAGTGGTGCTGTTACCCAAGTGGGTAGAGTGCTAGCCTGTAGCTAAAGGAGCTCATTACAGCACCCAGGTTGTCTAGAGTTCAAGACCCAAGACTGGCACCAAAAAAGAAAAAAAACGGTTATATATAAATATAAAGGATTAATGTCTAAGAATGAACCTAATCAAGGACTAAGAAACAAAAGAGCATTATTTAAAAATGTAAAAACTACCAGGTCATGTGTGGAGGGACAATCTATAGTCGTGACCACTCAGGAGGCTGAGGCAGGAAGATTGCTTGAGCCCAGGATATTTGTGACCAGCCTGGGTAACACAGTAACACAGTCTCAAATAAAAAAATACACCCAAACCCCTTTGAATCAATTATCATGCACTTTTGTGTGTGTGTGTGTGTGTGTGTGTGTGTGCTGGTGGGGTGTGAGGTTTGAACTAGGCCTGGATGCTGTTTCTGAGCTTCTTTATTTAAGGCTAACACTATACAGCTTGAGCCATAGCTCCACTTCCAGCGATCTTCAGATCTCAGCTTCCTGAGTAGTAGCTAGGATTACAGATGTGTGCTGCCTGTGCCCGGAAACACTTTTAACAAAAAAGGAATGTAAGAAGTCCAAACATACCTTGTCTGGGTGTGGGTCCTAGTAGGAAGGCTGCAAATGAACGGAGAGGGGGAAGGGGAATGTCCAAAGACTTTTTCTGTATGTTGGAGGAAATGAAACAAAAACTTGATGAGACTGGTTTGGAAAGGGGAGGGGAAGGAGGGAGAACTGTGGAGAGGGGGATTATGATCCAAAAACATTATGTTCATAAATGGGTATGTTAAAATGAAACCCCATTGTAGTACTAGTTGATGCCAGTTAAAACAAAAAGAAGCTGAAAAATAAGAACTCTACTAGGATATAAAAGGGGAAAAGGTAGGGGCTGGGAAGGTGGCTCAGTGGTAGAGCGCTTGCCTTGCATGCATGAGGCCCTGGGTTCGATTCCTCAGCACCACATAAGCAAGAAGAAAACAGCCGGAAGTGGCGCTGTGGCTCAAGTGGTAGAGCGCTAGCCTTGAGCTGAAGAGCTGAGGGACAGCGCCCAGACCCAGAGTTCAGGCCCCACGACCAGACCAAAAAAAAAAAAAAAGGGGGAAAAGGTGCACACTAATTAATCAACCTTAATAGAGGGGATGATAGACCGAGCACTGCTAATTAATTTCATCAGGTGCTTATTGACTACTAGTTCTCACCTAGCACAGGTACGTGCACTGCTGGCACAGTGGCGCCTCAGGAAGCTGAGATCTGAGGATCACAGTTGAAAGCCAGTCTGGACAGGAAGTCTGTGAGACTATTTTATTTTATTTTTGCCAGTCCTGGGGCTTGAACTCAGGGCCTGGGCTCTGTCCCCGAGCTTCTTTTGCTCACTTGAGCCACATGCCACTTCTGACTTTTTCTGTTTATGTGGTACTGAGGAGGAATTGAAGCCAGGGCTTCATGCATGCTAGGCAAGCACTTTACCACTAAGCCACTTTCTCAACCCCTATGAGCCGGCAAAAAGCTGGAAGTCCAGCTGTGGCTCAAGTGTAGAGCACCAGCCTTGAGCAAAAAGCCAAGTAGGAGCTTGAGGCATTAAGTTCAAGCCCAGTGCCAGCACAAAAGCAAACAAAAACACAACAGAGTGTGTGCCAAGTTGTGAGATGCAGCACTGGAAGCCATGTCCTGTCCTAGATAGTAGGCAAGGAAAATTTGTGCATTGTATGTTGTTTCTATGTGTCTTAGGAAATGTATACACTTACAGGAAGAGGGAGCACTTTGTTTTTATATGTCTAGAGATAAAGCAAAACTTTATTTATTTATTTTTCTGTTGTATGTGTTTCTGGGAATGCCATTATCAAACTTGGAAAAATAGGTATTGGGTAAAGTATTAGTCTCCATTGTATTCAAGCAGTGTGTCACCCAAGTGGTAACTGGTGTTTATTAGCTTTTTCCTGTTCTCACATTTTTTGTGCACTTTTGTTTATCTTTCTTCCTTGTTTTGTGGCTTTAAACTTTTTTGGGAGGGTCTGTAACCCTTTGTTGCTATGTAACAGATAATTTCTACCATTGTGAATTGTCTTCACTTTTTAAAGTTTCTCAGTAAACAAGATTTAAAAATTCTTACGGTTTGTGCTCTTGTATCTAACAACTTACTAAGTTTGAACATGCTAAGGGAAAACTTAGACCTGGAAGGAGAGGTTTAGGGACAATTATGAATAAATGGAAAAGTAGGCAAATAAAAAAATCAACCTACACTTAACATTAAAAAAAAAAGTACACATGAAACCGGACACTGATGGCTCATGCCTATAATTCTGGCATTTCAAGATGATGAGATTTGAGGATCGAAGTTCAAAGACAGCCTAGGCAGAAAAGTCTGAGACTCTTCTTTCCAACTAGCCACTAAAAAGTCAGAAGTAGAGCTGTGGCTCAAGTGATAGAGTCCTGGCATTGAGTAGGAAAAGCTAAGCAACAATCCTTAAGCACTGAGTTCAAGTCCCAGTACTGGCACACACACATATGAATTATATCAAGCCCTGGAGTTAATTCCCAGCACCAAGAAATAAAGTGCAAAAGACATAGCTATCGTTTCATTTGAGAATATTTCCAGGTGTATTTACAACATCACAGTAACACAAAAATTGAATTTTAATCTTATTAACATTGTGATTACTATATTGGGGGCATAAGCTAACCAGCTGAGTGCCTGTGGGGGTGATTCTGAGATGTGGATGGAGTGTTAATCATATTAGTTTTTGACTAATTAGTTTTTGTCTAAACATCACACATTTCAAAATTTCTGTGTGTCAGATGTGTGTGGGGCTGGGAAGGTGGCTCAGTGGTAGAGCGCTTGCCTTGCATGCCTGAGGCCCTGGGTTGGATTCCTCAGCACCACATAAGCAAAAAGAAAAAAGCCAGAAGTGGCGCTGTGGCTCAAGAGGTAGAGCGCTAGCCTTGAGCTGAAGAGCTGAGGGACAGCACCCAGACCCAGAGTTCAGGCCCCACGACCGGACCGACCCCCCCCCCAAAAAAAAAAATTGTGTGTGTTGGGGCTGGGAAGGTGGCTCAGTAGTAGAGCGCTTGCCTTGCATGCCTGAGGCCCTGGGTTCGATTCCTCAGCACCACATAAGCAAAAAGAATAAAAGCCGGAAGTGGCGCTGTGGCTGAAGAGCTGAGGGACAGCACCCAGGCTGAGTTCAGGCCCCACAACTGACCAAAAAAAAAAGAAGAAAGGTGAAGGAGGTATATGTGATTGATATGTACATGTGACAATGTCCCAGTGAAACTCATCGTTGTGTAAAATAAAAGAAATGCAAATAACAGTTTCTAAAGTTCAAGATCCTGGACATAGTTCTGCTTGGGGGCCTTAAAGCTATAATCAAGGTGTCGGCTGGGGTCTCAGCCTTATCTGAGGCTCGACACAAGGCACCACTTTTCTTTTTTCTTTTTTTTTTGCCAGTCCTGGGACTTGATCTCAGGGTTTGGGCACTGTCCTTGAGCTTGTTTTACTCAAGGTTAGCACTCTACCACTTGAGTCTCAGTGCCACCTCCGGCTTTTTCTGTGTATGTGGTATTGAGGATCCAACCCAGGGCTTCATGCTTGCTAGGCAAGCACTCTATCACGAAGCCACCTTCCCAGCCTGGAAGGCACCACTTTCATTGGCAGAGTTTATAAGATCTGAGTCTTAGAATGTATTCCACTTGAGGGCTGGGAAGGTGGCTCAGTGGTAGAGCGCTTGCCTTGCATGCCTGAGGCCCTGGGTTCGATTTCTCAGCACCACATAAGCAAAAAGAAAAAAGCCGGAAGTAGCGCTGTGGCTCAAGTGGTAGAGCGCTAGCCTTGAGCTGAAGAGCTGAGGGACAGTGCCCAGGCCTAGAGTTCAGGCCCCATGACCGGACCAAAAAAAAAAAAAAAGAATGTATTCCACTTGGGTTGGGAAGGTGGCGTGGCTTTGTGGTAGAGTGCTGGGCTTGAAGCCCTGGGTTTGATTCCTCAGTACCCCATAAACCAAAAGAACTGGACGTGGTACTATGGCTCAAGTGGTAGAGTGCTAGCCTTGAGCAAAAGAAGCTCAGGGACAGAGCCCAGGCCCTGAGTTCATGCCCCAGGACTGAAAAAAAAAATGCTAGATAGATGTTCTGTCACTGAGCGACTTACTGAAACCACCCCTACCTTCCCTTTGAGAAGATCTCACTATGTGGTTACCTGGCTTAGAATTCACAATCCTCCCGCTTCAGTCACATTACAAGTAGAAGCAACAGTGACTGGTTTCATCTTTTAAAATGTTTCCAGCACACAGGAATTTAATCTTGTTGAAGTTCCTTGATTATGTCCTATGTTTCATTTCTGCTTTGTCTTCTTAGCTAGACTACCTGAATTATTATGGTGATTTAGGGAAATAGGATGTTGTCAATTTTGTGAATATTCTTATTTGTGGCAAAATTATGAAGTCTTTTGTTGATGTTGTTGGTCATGGGACTTGAACTCAGGGCTTGGGCACTGTTCCTGACATTTTGTGCTCAAGGCTAATGCTGTACCACTTTGAGCCACAGCTCCACTTCCAGTTTTGGGGTGATGACTTGGAGGTAAGAATCTCACAGACTTTATTGCCCAGGCTGGCTTTGAACTTCAATTCTCAGATCTCAGCTTCCTAAGTAGCTAGGATTACAGCCTGGGTCACAGTAATCTCATCAGTGTTTAATGTGGTTAAACTCCCAGACTTACCAGAAACTTGCATATTTGATTAGTCTTACTAAAGAACAAATTTTATTAAAGCTGCTTCACTAAACTCTTAATTTCACTA